AAAAAAATATATATATATAAATATATATAAATATATATATATATATAAAAAAATATATATAGGCAGGAACGGATTAATTTTTTTTCTGTTATTTCTTATGGGAAAAAAAAATCATTTGAGATACGAGTACCTCAAGTTACGAGCTCGGTCCTGGAACGGATTATTCTAGTATCTTAAGGTATTACTGTATTTGCTGAACTAATACGGAAGTCAATCCCTGTTAAGTGTAAAAATGGCACTACTGATTTGTTGAAAAATGATGTCTGAACACCTGCCATAGCGCGTATTGGCAAGTATTGCCATACAGTTAAAAAAATACTTTCTGTTGAGTTGGCCGTGTTTCCTGTACAGGAAGTTAAATGCTATTTATGTGTTTATTAAATATATTTTTTAAACAATTTTATCGTTACTTTTATTGATACTTTGTCTATATGACAGCAGTGTTAGTTTGAAGACTTTTTTTTTCTCCTTGTGGATTTAACGAACCTTCCATTAATAAGAAAATAAATCTGTCTCTAAGCACTTTGCTGTTTGGTCTCCACACTGTGGTTTGGGTGGAGTTCACACGTACACTGCACATGGTCATCTGAACCATAGAGTTGTGCCACCTATATAACACTCCCTTCCAGTTCACTGCATTGTTACCGAATGTAACTTAAAAACAAAAAAGTAAAAAGTACATTTGGACTCAAGTATTTTACTTCACTACATTTGAAAAGAACCCGGTACTGAGTCAAAATTAAACGAGGGGGAAAAAACAATATGCGTTGACTGAAAGGAAATTGCGTGCGCAGAGATTACCCACTATTTTAATGTAGCCAGAGAACATTGAAACACAAAATGGAGGTTGAGGAATGTCAAGCAGAGAGAGAGAAGGAAATCCTTGGCCATATCTCAGCCAGCTCTTTGTTTACAAATGTAATAACTTCATCATGTGAAGCAGATTGGATTTATGACTGGTCCTTTTTGCATCAAGTACTTTAAAATTACTAAGTAACTTTTTCTCAAAATGAATTTTAAATTAAGTTTTTTTTTTTTTAGATTTTTAGATATTATTTTTACTTGAGTAGAACTTAAGCAAAGTAAAGATACTTTTACCTAATTACATTTTCTAGCATTTTTCCCACCTCTGGGTAGTCGTTATGTACTGCAATAATCAAATAATCATTTTCTGTATTGTTACAACAAACGCCTTTGAGGGAAAAAAAAAAAACTGTTGTGCATTTCGAATAGTTACCTTTTAAAACCACTTCTACCACATGCAACGTGGAGGCAACGTCGTTGGTTGCGATACAGATGTAGGAACCTGCTTCAGACACGTTTAGCTTTTTGCCCAACACGTGAGGGACATCGCCCGGACTGAGCAGCCACTGGATTTTGGGAGGAGGGTGACCCTCGGCGTCACAGACCAGCTCCTCTGGATAACCCCTAAATACTGGGACCTTGTTTGGAAGCTTTGTGGTGTCTATGATGGGCTTATCTGTGGACACAGATCAAATGAAAGGCAAACACAGCAATGTTAGTCGAAAGTGGGGGAAAAAAAAAAAAAATGGAGACAACCTACGAAAAGGCTGCACAGGCTGGTACACAGCAACGCTGCTTTACTGTTTGCTGGTTGTCGATTATTTTTATATTGATTTGATACATTTTTAAGCTGAGATGTACAAAAAATTATTTAACTACAGTGGAACCTCGAGATACGAGCATAATCCGTTCCAGGACCGAGCTGCTCGTATCTCAAATCATTTTTTTCCCATAAGAAATAATAGAAAAAAAATTAATCTGTTCCGGCCCTCTAACTAATCTATTTTTTTTTGTTGTTTTTTTTTGTTGCTTTTTTCGATTTCTATTCTATCTTTAGCGGGCACCATTCTCATATTTATCAACAATTTCATCTTCTTCTCTCTACCATCCTTACCACTCACTTTCTTAGGACTCATCACTATTATGAAGGATAATGCACAAAATAGAGAGAAAATCACGTAGATAACGCAAACAATACGGAAGACTCACGGGAGATGCGTACGGAAGTCGACGAACATGTGAAGTGAACGAGTGAAGCGCCGTGGTCAGCTCCGAGTGCTCGGCCACCTAGCGTCGGCGTCTGTACGCGTGCTCGTATCTTGAGTCTTTACTCGTATCTCAAAGCAAAAAATTGCTCTAAACGGAATACTCGTACACATGTATCTCGGAATACTCGTACGTCGGGACGCTCGTATCTCGAGGTTCCACTGTACTACTGCGAGGAGGGAATACTGCTCTTTTTTTATATTTAATTGTTCATAGACCAAATATTTTGGCATGTTTGTTCGTATAGTATCCTGAATCAGCCATTACTGTGGACCAGTAATACTGCGCTGCTGTTGAAGCATCATTAAATTCAAAACAAAACGTCTTTCAGATCGTAAGATGGTGTAAAGGGATATGACTGGATTCTTCTTGAATGAAGTAAATTAGTAAAACTGAAGTACATTTTTTTCCACTGTGCCCCACTGCGGCCCGGTGCCAAATGACCTACGGACCGTCACCGGTGGTTTCCTGTCACATTGTTCTCATTTACAAGAACTTAACAGATCTGTAGTACCAGCTACTGATAACACAGGAAAATCAAGGCTTTCCTTGAAAAGCTGTACAATGAAGGTCAACAAGTGGGGCACAAAAGCGCAAATGTGGAAATGCCATCTTACAGTGGACAGTGATGTTGAGAGGATCAGACACTTCTGGAGTAAGCCGTGGTCCGTCAGCTCCCAGGTCCAGGTGGGCCTCACATCTGAACATTGCTTTACTGTGCGTCCTATTCAGTTTGATTGTGACGGTCGTCGACACGTTGAGCGGACTCTTGGTTTCACCAATGGTGCAATTTGTGCCGTTCCCGGGCAGACAGCCGGCCACCCAGAACGAATGTGAGCCTACAAAAAAAAAGGACAAAAAACATTCAATCATTCCAACTGTGTCAGCTATCAAAGACAGGACGACTTTTTCTCTTTCTATTACAGTCACTTATACCAAAGTCTTTTTAGTTCTAAGCTTAGATAGATAATGATTAAAATCGCTAAAATACAAACTTCAACACTCGATAGGCCTACCTTGGATCAGGGGTTCCAGTGTGGTGTTTCCGTGATACCAGCGCACGTACAGGTTCTGCGCAGGAGCAACGCTGTTTATGTTGCACTGCAGCTGGAGCTCTTCCTCCTCTTTCAAAGGGTTTGTGTTATGTAAGGGTTGAATGGATACACTGGCTGGTTTTTCTACATATTTGTATATATAAAAAAAAAGTCAAGGCATTAAAACTCAATTTGAAGGAAGTGCAGTTGTCAGGAATGTCACGTGTTGACACAAAGGTCATTTAAAACGTGAATTATTGTTGACACAAAATGTAGGTTCACTTTAATTCTGGCGATGATTTTATGAATAACATCTTTCTTCATTCAATTTCAGTCTCGTTTGCTACAGACCGAAGCGTACGTTGAGAAAAATACATAATATAACGTATGCTACGTAAACCCATAGTAAATTCACAGCTGCATCTACCTTTAATACAAACATACTGCAGGTAACCTGCATCTACCTTTAATACAAACATACTGCCGGTAACCTTTTATATATATATATATATGTACATATATATAAATATATATGTACATATATATAAATATATATGTACATATATATAAATATATATGTACATATATATAAGTATATATGTACATATATATAAATATATATGTATATATGTACATATATATGTATATATATATACTGTATGGACATATATATGCTGTCATAAGCATTTCACAAATATGAGATCAATCAAGTTCAAATTATTATTGTTGTTATTATTATCTAAGATTACATGTACCGTGGTTCCTTTTTTTATATCGCGGCTCTCCTTTCGCTCCCTCAGTGCATCGCAGATTTTCTTTTCTTTAATCCGATCTTTTTTTTTTTTGGCTTTAAAAATGTGTGTTCTTGTTTTGAAATTGAGATAAGCGCATTTGCGAACGATCGCTGGTAGCTTTGTTTACCTGGACGTGATCGTACACAGCACACTATTGGCTAATACAGTGCATACTCGGTGTACTATTGGCTAACTGAGCATGCTCTTCTGTCCCACAAGCTGATTGGCTCATGCATCGTAGCATCTCTCAGCATCTCCCCTCGTCTGTCGGCCACTCCCTCGCGTCGCCATTCTACAACTCTACTGTGCATATATGCGATTTTTTCCCAATTCGCAGTAGGTCTTGAAACCATGAAATATTTCGCCTCAATCTCAAACCAAGAATCCACATTTTTAAATCCAAAACTTTCATATTTCGTACGTATAATTATTTTATAATGTCTTTTAGTTTATTTTTTGCTATATATCAAGATCAGATTTTTTTTTTTTAAAATCTGCGATGTACCGAGCGAGCGAAAGGAGAACCGTGATCTAGAGAGGGAACACTGTACTGTACGTACTATTTGTCAACACTTCACATAACCACACATTAGAAGATTGTTTTTTGACTTAAAGGGTGTCAGAAGGTTAAAATACATACTGTAAATGGTGAGGTTTAAGGGTTTCTTGCATCTTTCCAAGCCCCAAAATATGGCAAAGCAAACAGGCTGAGGGTCCCATTCCCCGGTGTGATGCCAATGATTGTCCCCCCATCTGAAATAGCTCTTGTCTTCCCAATATATTTCTTTGAGATTTAATTGAGCGGAAGGTTTTGGTGTACACGAAACCACTGAGCTGCTGTCGTAGGATGTTATCATCCTCTCTGGGGTGATGTCAATGGGACATTCTGTTGTGACACCTGTAAAACAATAAACGAGTCGGATTATTTGTCACCAACATCTCATTTAGTCCGCACACAAAGCTACGTGTAACGTGGAAATGTTTTATCAATATTATACGAGATGCGTCAGAATTTCACATGAGCTGAAGGAAAAAGTAAGGTGCAATTCACATTACGCCAAAAATCCGATATTAAGAGCAGGGGAATTGCGAATTTGTTAGCTAAATTACAATGGAAAAAACTATAAACTGTTTGACTGCTTTGTTTTTTTTTAGTTTTTTTAAGCTAGGTTCTAAATTATTGTGATGACAAAATATTTAAAAAATACTTGTTTTTTTTATTATTAATATGAGAATTCAAATTTTTCATCAAACAACTTATTCTTAGTGTTCCGTCTGTTTAGCCTTATTTCTGCGCGGTGTAGAAAGAGTCGCACTTGTAGAACAAAAGGTGTTTTTAGGATTCAATGCTAGATGTGGCAACAAAAACAAAAAATCTCAGGAAGGATATACCCCTCCCAAAGGAAACTGCACTACATGTGCACTTAGGAATTTGTTTTTTTTTCTTTCCTCTCTTGAGTTCCTGTAATTTCAGAACAGCATTACAGTGCTGACATTAGTAACACACACAGTGTCATTTATGCAGCCTGTCTTGAAGAATGATTTCGCAAGACTGATTGTGCCGTTGAGCAGCATCCACCTTGGAGATAAAAATCCTGGTGGGTTTCGTATGACTGAGAAATGTTCCCAGACCACTGGTTTATGTGACTTCCATTTGATTTGGCAGGTTATTGTGGTCCAAAGTACAGACTACTCTTTTATTTATTGTAAAATATAACAATACCGCAACATAAATAACATAAGACAGCCATCCCATAACCTTGATTCACTGTGATTTTAAAAGAACAGCGTTAACACTAACTGTTAAATAACATGACATAACATAACACATTAAATGGGGATAGAAACACTAGGTTATATTTAATTATCTTATATACATAGGTTATACGGTATTTTCACGATAAAGATAACTAGTGTTTAGTGAGATACTTTTAAAAATAGTTTTGATGGTACTGTGATTCACTGTGATTTTAAAAGAACAGCGTTAACACTAACTGTTAAATAACATGACATAACATAACACATTAAATGGGGATAGAAACACTAGGTTATATTTAATTATCTTATATACATAGGTTATACGGTATTTTCACGATAAAGATAACTAGTGTTTAGTGAGATACTTTTAAAAATAGTTTTGATGGTACTGTGAAGTGAGTCACCAGGTCAGATTTTCCAGTCTCTCGTCCCAACCGAGGTTATTTTAAACAACACAGTTAAGTAACTGTAGGTCTGTTTAATGAGGTGTGTGGTGTGCGCGAAACATACAACAACTGTGAGCATAAACAGGATGAAGCCATTTTATATTATATAGAAAAAAAGAGTAAACACAAACTTACTCGACTGAGCCCCGTTACAGACTGACAGCAGCTCAAACGTTAAAACCGCTGAGAGCAGACGAACAGCGTTCAACTCCGTCATTGGAATCCAGGTCCAGAGTTAATAAACGGTATAATGATTTGAAACTTTTTAAACCGGCGTTACTTCTTGTTCTGAACAGCTGTCAAAGTTTTCCGTTATACCAGCCCTCAGTCTCCTCCTCCTTCACACCAGCTGCATAACACTATGCTGGAGCGGTCCGTCCCGGAGGAAAGCTAGGCTAGAAGTTTATGGTTCCATGCTCCGAACGGATATCTGACCCCGCCCACCCGCGCATACGTCACACAGGAGAATAATGGCGATTGAAAAATTGTAAATGGAACAGAAGGGTCTTTAGGCTAACTTAAACTTTAGGTTAATTATATCACGTTATTTAAATGCAATTTTAATCAACTTAAAATCACTTTCAATACATATATTATCTATATTATCTACTCTATACTATAGATTTATTTATTTTCATTGTGTTTCACACATGTATTTATCATGCTAATTCGTGTAGCTAATGATAAAAGATTTGCTTGTCCACGACCACTACTGGCACTACTGGTATTGAATTGGATTTTTTTTTTTTATATATAAACATTTTTTATAACATTTTTGAGTGTCTTTAAAATGAGGCATACATTTACCAAATATAAATCATCATATTTTGGGGGTTCGTGTTGTCGCTGACATGAGATACGCGCATAGCAACAAAATGTATACAGTCACTGTCGTTGAATCTGATAACTTAAGGGCAAATAATTTGCCATCCCAAGCCGAATATTTTGTTGACCAAATGGATAGCTGCACCTTTTCATATGAATAGCTGTGCAGCTTTGCCACAAGGGGTCACTGGCGTATTACTCAACAGCCTTGATTGTAAAAAATGTGTATGTACATGATTAAATAACTTTTTTAGATGTTTACTTTTGAATTTTAAACGTGTGTTTATGGAATGTCCTGTTTACGTTTTTGTCTAAGAATTCCTCAACTTTTTGATACTGGCATTAAAAAATTAGTTATCTCACAGCGAAACGGTCTCCTGCGCACCTAGAAAAATTTTTCATCATCCGCCACTGGGTTGATGTGTTGAATGCTGATGATGAAAATATGGTATGTAAACAGTAAATGTGTTTTTCTGTTCCGTCCCTGTTTTGAGTTGTTATTCCATTGTAGCATATTGTCCATCGCACAACACAAGATTCAATCGGGTACATGCAAGCAAAGGTGGGACCAAGTCATTGCTTTGCTAGTCACAAGTAAGTCTCAAGTCTTTGCACTCAAGTCCGAGTCAAGTCTCAAGTCAAGACAGGCAACGTCCGAGTCCAAGTCCAAGTCAGAACTGAAAAGTGTCAAGTCAACTCCCAAGTCCTGCCGTTTCTGTTTCGAGTCCTTTCGAGTCCTTTTAAACAAAAATAAACACTTTGGGTTTTGGAGAAATTATCAAGTCTTGTCGAGTCAAAGGGCCCAAGTCCAAGTGAAGTCACGAGTCATTGACGTTAAAGTCCAAGTCGAGTTGCAAGTCTCTTTACCTTTTGTCAAGTCGAGTCTAAAGTCATCAAATTGATGACTCGAGTCTGACTCGAGTCCAAGTCATGCGACTCGAGTCCACACCTCTGCATGCAAGTCGACGAACTAACAGATCACCTTACCTTTCACGTTGACACGCACTGTTTTATTGACAAACCCTCCTTGGTTTTGGGCCTGGCACGTGTAGAGGCCCTTGTTGAAAGCGGTAGCGTTGTAGATGAGCAGACGAGAAACTCCGTCTTCATTTTGTTCCACTACATTGGTGGTCCGATAGTAAGTCCAGGAGTACGTTGGTCGTGGGTGTCCCATGGAAGAGCATTTCAACCACGCGGTTGACTCAAACTCCACCTCAGTGTCTTCCAGCTCTTCTATAGGTGTTGGTGAATCTACGGACAACAGATTTATCACATACTAAACCAAAGGAACCTCACAGATCCATCCCCATGTTATACAAATAAATTTACCTACAATTCACAATAAGTTCCACAGTCACATTAACAGAGGAGACGTTGTTCACGGCATGGATTGTGTATTGCCCCGAATCTCTTCTAGTTAGTATCTCTGGAAGCTCCACATCGTCGTATTCTTTGTACCAAGTCACGACAGGCGTTGGAAAGCCAGCCACAGTGCATGACATGTTGTTAACAGAGAACTCTGGAGCGGTATATGTACTTGGACAATCTAGTTCTGGTCCATCTGCGAAAAAAAAACAAAAAACAGGAGTGTTGAATAAATCATTCATACACTTTTGTCGCTTAGGTACACCTGACCAAAATGATATCGTCCTGTATCACATTCTTATTCTGTTAAAAAACTACAACTCCTGGTGCTGCTTCCTTTTTAGGTCTCCTGAACAAACAAAGTTTCCACATATACATTTTCTAATCTCGCTGACTGCGCTCGACCGTCAGTCCAGTCTTACATTAGATCCTGGTAACCGGGAGAGTTCTCCCTTGTCTGTTCTTTCTCGGCTTTGTAACACATCTACGTACATCCCTTTGTCTTTGATCGTTTTTGTGTCACTACTAGCTCAATTTACACCCGTTGTCTACTGATGTAACAAGTACAAAACAGCCACATTTTGTTGAAAACCAGTAGAGCTGCCCCAATAAGGTCAAATCTACCTCTGGTCCACCAAAAATCTTTGACATCATGCTGAAAAAGCTGAACGTTACTCACACGCAACGTGAACCATGATTTCTTGTGTGACATTGAATAATCCATTGACTTCCATGTTGTATTTTCCTGTGTCCTTCCTGGTGAGTGGGACATTCGAATCTATTAGCTGTCCATCTTTTTTCCATGTCACCGAGGGGGCAGGATTTCCTTGCACGGAACAGTAATTCTTAAGTGTTTCCCCTTCCAGGAAAATGTTTTCACAAAAAATGTCTGGTCCATCTGACAAAGGAAGAAAGGGTACAATTTCAGTTTTGCCCAGGCATGGTGAGTCGTGAACTTATTTATTTTGACATGAATGTAAATTTATGTCTAATTATGTCTAATGTGTTTCATTAACCTTATCACACTCTGCAAGCTTATAGGCTAAACCAGGCATGAGCAAACTAAGGCCCGGGGGCCAGATGTGGATCTATTCCAAATTATATAATTTACCTACATTATCATTATACCGCTGTCTTTTCCCTGCAATACCCCGATTCCCCAATAGATGGCGTAGAAAACGACAAAAGCATTTTAGCCTTTTTTAATATTGAAATGAATGATGATACTTACACTTAAGTGTAACATTAATGGGCCGAGATGACGCTTCAAGCATTGGTCCATCTGGACCCAGGTCCATCTGTGCTTTGCACTGGATTGAGACTCCATCGTCGTGTCTCTTGGGAGTAAGAGTGTAGTGGAATTTCACGTCCAACGGTTCCCTGACGGTGTTATTAAGAGTCTGTACATCGCTCAACGTGTCTCCTTTGTACCACCAGACCGTGAGATTTTGCACTGGAGCTACTTTGGGGATGAAGCATTCGAAGCGATAACTTCTATCTTCTATCATCTCGTTATCACTTACGTTGACCCGAAGGTGAATGTTTTGGGGAAATTCTGGAAGAAAAGAAAGTGAGTCAGTCGGTCGGCGTCAAGCAGTGTCGGTCAGCTCTGCAATGAACGAAGGAAGACTTACGGTAAAGAACAACCCGTAGCTTTAAAAAGCATTGCTTCTTTGTAGAACCTGGGGATGGATTGAAATAGCATAAGGGATCGATTTTCCAATCCGTAAGGTTCTCTACGGTCCAGGTCACATGGTTGTCTCGCACTTGTTGTCTTTTTCCGGTTGAGGCCTCCCAGCCGATTCCTCTGAACTCGACTTCTGACGTGCTGCAGTTAGTTGACACTGAGCCTCCATGTCTCAACACAACACTTGGCGGGCTCAGCTCAACAGGACAGGCGCTGACACCTACAGCACAGGGGTACACAAACCACACAGCGTTTCTAGCCAGGGAGTTGGTCAAGTGCAGCCAAAGAATGTGAGAGTGTGAATTTCTTCTGAGATATTACAGACCTCCCAACTAACTACCTGTTCTCTCTCCACTCTGGTGTGTGTAGTAAAACAGAACAAACAAATCGGTATCGGGTGATTCTAAGAAGGGATAGGAAACTACAGATGGAATAGGAATCTGCCGATGACTTGATTTCCAACCTATGGCGCTGGGAAACTATAGGCATTTGGCGGCCTTATAGTAGGTTCCAGGACTTCAGGGCATCTTCGGTTTATGAAGTTCTCGACATACTGTACGACGTTTCGTGGTTACATCCCCATCTCTCATAAATGTATTAAGAAAGTCCCGTTCCACGCATCGTATGGCGTTTAAACTCGTCAAGTTTGACCAGGAACTAGCTTACTGCAAACATTGGATGGTGCTACAGTCATTTTTGTTTTGTTATTTGTGTGTTATTTTGGGAACTTTTCACCCTTCATTATGGCTACCAAGCATAAGTCACACTCTTGTGATGTTTTTATGTCCCAGATCATACGTGTCAAACTCAAGGCCCGGGGCCCAAATGCGGCCCCCCCAAGCCATTTCGTGTGGCCCACGGGAGCTTAAAAAGCATGTAGTAAAGCTTTCTTAACCTAAGAAATTAAAAGTTTTTATAATCAATCAAATAATAATCAATTTCAGTTCAATCCAATTTCATTGTCTGAGAACTCACCATGCAGAAGGAGTGACTGCAATGGAGCATCCAAGTTTGTCAGATATCCTTTGGTCAAAATATACCGATTGGTGTACAAAGGTGTTAAGACAACTTCTGGACTCATTTTGTCCTCTGGTGTCTTCTATATCCATGGGTCAATTGGTACAGAAAGAATTCAATACCTTAGATTATTCCTGTTTTACTTATTACCTGATGCTAAACAAGTTTTTATTGTTTATATATTTTTTCATAATATACAATGGTTAAAAAAAATAAAAATAAAACCAGAATGTAGCAATCATTGTCAATATAAACTAATTTGCAGCAGGACTTCCTTGTGACACGTCCTTACAGTAGATGTGAAGTGCACCAGTCGTCCACGTTCGACTTTCACTTTCAACCCGATTAACGCTGACAGGATGTGATGATTTTCCTCCAGATTACTTCACCCAGATAGGAAGTTAAATAACCATGCTTTTTTTTTTTTAAATGTTTGATCCAATATTTTCCCCCTGCCGAAACTTAAACTCGCAGTTTTTGGGGGCATACCCAAAAAGAAAAGCAGAGTAAAGAATAACAAAAAAACATAAAATAAACAAATATATAAATATATATACATATATGTACCAATGCTTCTTTCCCTGGTTGACGTTGTTAAGGAATAACAACAACCTTCTTTCCCTGGTTGACGTTGTTAAGGCATAACACCAACAATCTTACCGGTCTCAGCCAGACAAATCAATCCCAGCAGAAGTGAAACATTTGACGCACTGGTTCTCTGATATGTCCAACTACGTCCCGTTGATTTTTTCCTCCAGCTCTGCTCCACCAGGCACGGCATGCCTCTGCCTCTGCAGCTCGGTCGGATGATCCTCGCTTAGTGGCGATTGAACCAATGAACTGCAAGCAACACAGGCAGAGATGTACAGCTCTCTCTCTCTCTCTCTCTCTCACTCTCTCTGTTTTTTTCTTGCCGTCTTGCCCCCCACCGGTCCCCCCCCTAACTCCTCTCACTCTCTCTTTCATACTCTCTCTCTCTAAACACACACATTCATGCAGCTGTTCTGAAGGAACTCAGAACTGACCAAATATTATATCCGGGCACATTGTTGTTAAACAATGACATTAGGAAAAAAAAAAAAAAATTTTTCTTTTTTTTTTTTTAAGTCGCCTAGGTGGTTTCTTTAAATTATTATGTATTCTCTGTTGGTTGGCATTGAGTATCCAGTAGCTCCATTTCCCTGGCCTGTAGGTGACGCTCAACTCTAATTCACATTGTAAGCCGGTTTACTGTTCATGTAAAAATAAATGTCAAAAGGCCAAAAAAAAGTGTAACGAGAAACAGTGGTTCTCAATTATTTTCTGTCAGACATTTTTGGAGTATGAGTTGCTGCCACCTAGTGACTGGAGGCCTGTTACCGTTTAAGCATTACAGCAGTGGTACACTTATGTCCAGTGTGCCGAAATTCCATAAGAAGCCCCTCACGGCCCCCCAGGGGGCCCGCCCCACTATTTGAGAATCACTGATTCAGGGTGATTGCTAGGGTTGCCTTATACAAACCAATACGAGAACAAGTATTTTTATTTGTATATTCACTAATAGAGTACTATCACCAATATCTGAGTATTGGGTAAATATTCACTGTCTTTGCTTTCTAGTAAAAACAAATGTCAACTAAAGTATGTAGCACATTAAATCCATCCCTGGGGAGCAGTGGAGTTACCAACCTGGTTCTTTTACCACCAGGCCATGGGCACGTAACATAATAGCACCAGTGCACTAGCATATCAAGCGTTAGCATTGTCAGATGTCCGATAATGAGGCAGGCGTGCTAACCGCTACACTATGGAACAGTCATCTAATATAGCGTATATTAGCCACTGTATGTAGCATCACAGTTATGTATGCAAAAAAAAAAACAAAAACAAAAGGCAGTTGACGTGTTAGCAAAGATAACGTAACCGCTGCGGTTTTAAGTATAATATTTGAATACAACCATAAATCTGTGGTAGTATACCATCAGTCAAAGTTACCTTCGAAAGTAGCTAGCGTTGAGTACAGTTTATGCTATCAATTTGACGTGTCATTCTTATTGCTTCACAATAAGGAGCTTATAAGGAGCAAGGGGGGGGGGGGGGGGGGAGGTCGGAGGCGTGAAAACATTTCTGTTCCCAAGGGGGGGAGGATGACAGAACATTATTAAGAACCACTGGTCTAGAGTCACCACAATAGCAGCGAGCGTCCAGTTATTTACCACCTATCACATTAGTCACGGACGTCAGAAATTATTCATATTCATGCAGCGTGGAGGGCTGTTCGACACCCACGCTTTGAGGTCAGCAGCACTCGGTTTCTATTCCGCACTCCCACATTTCAAAACAGATGGTGTGCTAACGGCTCCAGATTGTTTCGACCGATTTTCATTTGAAGCGCAACTCGTATCACTGAAAATCTCATGCCACGTTCTAAGCATAGTTCAAAAACAAACGGAGGAACGTCAAACAAAAGATTCAGTTCGAGGCGGGAATTTCCTCAAACGTTGTTGCTTTCTGTTTCTACTACATGTAAGGTGTTCCTTTCCACCGAGGGATTCCTGTAAAACGGTAGGATTACAGGAATATTTATGACGGATCGGTTTTTTATAACGAGGAAATTCTTGGGAACTTTCCACGGAATGCCCAACTTTGCAGAGAGGAAACAGACAATGTGAAGACTGAGGGGAAAAAAAAAAAGAAAAAAAGAAGCTGATCATGCAGGGAATTGAGACGGAAGACAATAAACAGCTGTACGCAGCAAGTTGTCTTTGACCCAGCTGGAGTCAAGGGTTATTAAAAAGCCCGTCAGGTGGGAGTAGGAGGAGAAGACAAGAGAGCGATAAAGGACCAGGCAGGTCTTTTGAGACAAAACAGGGGAGGCTGCAGTTAAGACAACAAGCATTAAAATTCTACTCGTGTTGATACAACCCTCCCTGCACACAAAAAAAAAACACACAAAAAAAAAAAAAAAAACAAGCAACACTCGATCTGCTCTCAGCCCCCGAGCTCCGAACTCCATGTGAGAGACGTTAGTGTTTCGTGGCAACGTGACAACAAAACAAAATCCCAGCACAACTTCATTTTTTTGGCAGTTCCACTCCATGGACCATTGCTAATGAAGCACTTCCCTTCAAGCATTTCCTGACAGTGCATAAATAACAATCTGTCCATGTTTCCCTCCCTTTGTTTTCCTGCAAATAAGTATAAATATATTAGAAATGACTCATGCCAATGAAATACAATTTGACATCTCGAACATAAAGCGTTCAAAATTCGGGCTTCAAGCGGGCTGGATTTAACCCCCTAACGGACCGGTTTTGGACCACGGGCCGTATGTTGGGCATCCGTGGTTAAGGTGGAATAAGGATGAAAGATGGCCGACCGTGACATTCTCTAGGAGGGGAAACAAACAAACAAAAAAAAAAAAGAAGAGGGGAAGAAGGAAGGTAATGGCACCTACAAACAGTGTTGTCTGTCCAACCTGGAATTAAAAACATGTGACAACAATAATCTAAAGTGTTTGGTTTTTATAGACTCATTAACTCTAACTTTGAGAGGATCCATCATGGAAAAACAAAGAGGACTCATAGATAGACTTCTGCGTCTCAAAACAAAAACAATGTAATATTTGAACTAAGTTGCAGTTAGTATTATGTACGACTTTCTGAGTGACTTTTTCGACTTGTTGGCTGAAATTATTTCTCAGTTTGACTGGGGTTTTGTTGGTCAAGAATTTTAACATCCATGCGTTCAGCCCTAAGAAGGTGGTTGTAAGCGCATCTAAAATATCTACGTTAAATTTAATGTCATTTTGTTCAGTCTTTGAACAACACATATTTTTGCATTTTGTTGGCGTTTTTGATAAATTTAGGGGTTTTTTTTGTTTGTTTTTTTGTTTTTTTGTCCAGCATTAATTGGTCATTCAGTTATCTACGTATTCCTAATTTGTAAATTTGGTGTTTCCTTCAGGCAACAACCTACTTGTTGTTACTACTACTCACCATCCAGTAACATGTAATGTCAAAGTTTCCTTTGAACCCTTCCCCCCAGTATGGAGCAATTTATTTTAGGGGCTAAAGCTACATGTTAGCATTGCCAAGATAATAAGACCATGTCAACATCCCAAATTCCATGGAGGAGAAAATTTTTTTAAATTGAAAACGTTGTGACAAATTCATTAACAGGAAACCAAGATCCTAAAATGTCGGAGCGAGTTTTTACTCCAAAACATTTAAAAACAATTCATGACATAGAGGGTAAACAGTCCAAAATGTTCATTTGATCATTTGAACAATTTATCCTCGACCAAACTTCACCCGCTTTTTTTGGATAAGTTGTCTCTTTTGAATGTGCTGTTTTTTCCATTTACTTGAAGCTAGCTTTACTGTAGCTATCCCCATGCTAGCTCTGAGCTTTGATCTTTGATCTTCCTGTTACTGTAGCTATCCCCATGCTAGCTCTTTGATCTTTGATCTTTCTTTTTATCTTTCTACTTTGCTCATCTATAATCATTAGCATTTCCCGAAAATGTTTAAAGGCTAACGATATAATTTATGGGAACATTAAAAGCCAGCGTCGCGTCTGCGTCTGCTAATTCGGATGTTTCGCTCTGAGCGCTAATATCTGAACATTTATTGTACCACAACAAACAAACCACTTGTCAGAGCACTGTTACGGTGGCCTTGAGCTCTTTGAGAAAATCAGCTAAGGCATCCAGATGCTATTTCTCTTCCTATCTGTGAGCGTTTAATGTTCAACTAGCACATTTGGGAAGTGAGCTGAGACAAACACACTGTGTAACCAAACGAGTGTTATCCACTGACTGTAATGTGATCATGGAAAATGCAATGAGTCAGAACAGAGGTCCCTCTGTGTTTCGCATTCTTTCGCTCTTCCCGCCTGCATTCTAGGCTTTATCTTGGAACAGTCAGAGTAAAAGGCTGTTCTTCCGAAAGAACTTTTTCTATGCTATCAGCTACTTTTGAAACAGAAAGATACATCACGCCGATGATCATTCGTGTTCCGGAACTTCTACGTTAGTTAGTGCAGCAACTCCACCTATTAAACATCCGTCGTCTGAATCACACATGCCCAACGTTTGGAGTACTTTCATTTTCATTTTGAGAAAAAATATTTTGGCCCATCCTATAATCGTGATTCTGACCCATAACCCCTACTACTTAAAATAGCTAACCACATTTAACATCAATGTCAATGACCAGTGCTGAGACCACGTGTCTGTCACTGTGGCATGGTGGTCTCTAATGCAAGTCAGTGGGAGGGCTGTTCTCCGCAGAGATGTTTTCTGAGTTTTTACCACATTATTAACCCACCCATTGAATTGAAATACCATTAAGCGCATGGTAATACGTATTTATTGATCCGCACAACCCGCTCTCTGAGTGGATGTTAATCGTTCAAGCATGAACAAAGACACTATACTGAGAGTACTCTCTTGCGCCCCCCTGTGACACGGCCCCACTTTTTGATAAGCATACCCTGTGACACGGCCCCACTTTTTGATATGTAGCATGATTCACTACAGATGGGAATAAAGCCCAGAGTGGTCTCATTTACTAGCACTTACTGTACTCTTTGGAGTACATACTGTATAACAAATCACTTTCAGTGTAGTACTCCCATTTACCAACAGTAGGAATGTGTGTGTGTGTGTGTCTGTGTGTGTTGTGGAGAAGGGAGGTTGTCTCTTCCATGTAATTGGTCCCAAACCTGGATCTGCTGGAGGTTTGCTCCTGTTAAACTTTTAGACGTTTTTACTCCCACCTGCTCAGTGCGTGATCTAATTTGGTTTTCTATCAAAACTACAGGAAGTTTCATCATTTCTCCACTTTTTCTGGTTATTTTCTTCTTGGAGATATAATACAATT